GAGGACACACCAGATTAATTCTGTAGCAGCCTTGTGTGTGGTCTGGGAAAGAGGTGTGATATGGTAGGTTAACACACAGAACTTGGAGTCCAGTGTGCCGGGTTCGAGTCTCAGACATAACACTCATCAGCTCTGCAACTCCCTGGACGTCAGTCTTTCCATCTGTGGAAGGTGAAATAAAGGTTCTAGTGCTACTGAGGGGATTAAATGGGGCAAACGCTAAGCACAGGGCCTTCAACTGTGTATTAGTTGAATTTTTTCCCCAGTTTAGTCATTTCCCAGCCGTCCTTGTTTATACAGGGGATCAGATGTCTCTTGGTTGCTTTCCTCCAGGGTGTTACGCACCCAGCATTTCTACCCAAGTTGGGAAATGCATTCTGTGCTCCAGATCTATACCCTAGTTACGTGCGGACAGTGACTCAGAGAGGGGCCTCGCGTTAGGGATCGGAAAGCAAGGAAAGGGAAATGAACCCAGACAGCAGACGTCCACAGAATGAGGACGTCAATGGATAAGGCCGAGAAGTACGTAAACATCCTATCTCCTATCTATCAAGGAAGCGGATACACACTTCCCAGGTGGGACTGTGTGCTACCAAAGGTCTGGAACAGCTCCTCGTCCCACCTGCAGCGAGGTTTGCCAAACTCCCACTGAACTTTCACTTGTGTTTCCAATGATGAGTAACCAAGTCACACACACACGCGCGCACACACCCCATCTTATTGATGAGTACACAGAAGTGAATGACATGCCTAGGCGTAAAGGAAAATAGAGTGTTGTTGGTTCTTTTAAATGAAAAAGCAGCTAAGCTACGGCCCCAGAGAAACATCAGAAAGGTCCAGGTGCAAGCCCTTCATTGGCAGGAAGACACCAGTGCAGGAGTGAGCCTGAGAGACGCCGTGCAAGAAGAGAGCGCCCAGAAGGCAAAATGAACACGTTGTCCAGGGGTAGACTGGAGCACAGCTGTCTGAGGCTGGACATGCCTGCTGGGCCATCAACATTCACGAACTCCAACGTAGCATTCCATACCTCAGTGTCTAGTCTACACACAGAAATCATGAGTACACACACACACGCAGACACACGCACAGTATCAGTCTAGAGGGAAGGGAATAGTAGGCATAGTACAATCCCAGTTTTACTTATAGTAAATATAAAGATCTACACAGAGAAAAAACTTTAAAATATTCACACAACTCTACTTGTGTGTTCTAATGTCCTTAACAAATCACCTGTATTGTGGCTATAGGTTGGTTGGTTGGTTGGTTTGGATAGGCGTTATAAGGGAGGCCACAATAAAAACGTGTGCTTATCTTTATGTTACATATATATGACTATTTCTTTTAAGATTTTTATTTTATTTGAGAGGTAGAGTTACAGACAGAGAGAGGCAAAGACAGAGAGAGAGGTCTTCCATCTGCTGGCTCACTCCCAAGTGGCCGCAATGACTGGGGTTGGGCCGATCCTAAGCCAGGAGATTTCTCGGGGTCTCTCACGCCGGGGCAGAGGCTCAAGCACTTGGGCCATCCTCCAATGCCCTCTCAGGCCACAGTAGAGAGCTGGATCAGAAGAGGAGCAGCCGGGACTAGAACTGGTGCCCAGATGGGATACCAGTGTTGCAGGCAGAGGATTAACCTACAGTGCCACAGCACCAGCCCCTATATATGACTATTTCCAAAAAATAGATTTTTATTACAAATTAAAATCTGGCCAGAAAAATTACCAAGTTAGTGTGTAATATAATTATTGGATTTTTTGAGTGAAATATTCTTTTCATAATAGTTTGACACATAAAAAGTAGAACCTTATAAAGAAGAATCTAATGTATTGGAGTTATTCAAAATTCTGCTCAAATTCTGATGCATTTTTCAGAAAGTACTGTATCTAATACATAACCTTAATGTCAACTGGTATATTTCTGTGAGAACTATTGGATAAAAAGATGCAGCTTAGGGCCGGCGCCGTGGCTCAATTGGTTAATCCTCTGCCTGCTGCACCAGGATCCCATATGGCACCAGGTTCTAGTCCCGGTTGGGGCACCAGATTCTGTCCCGGTTGCTCCTCTTCCAGTCCAGCTCTCTGCTGTGGCCCAGGAAGGCAGTGGAGGATGGTCCAAGTGCTTGGGCGCTGCACCCGCATGGGAGACCAGGAGGAAGCACCTGGCTCCTGGCTTAGGAGCAGTGCAGCGCACCAGCCATTTGGGGGCTGAACCAACGGAAGGAAGACCTTTCTTTCTGTCTCTCACTGTTTAACTCTGCCTGTCAAAAAATAAAAATGATGCAGATTTTTGGATAGGGACTACCAAAAGGTCTAGACTGATTTATCGTCTCACTAGCAATATATGGTTGGGCCCATATACCTCTGGATACTACCCTCAAAGAAGTACTACCAATCTAGTGGGTGAGAATCACATCTCGGTCCAATTTGTATTTTGCGACCACAAACGAGGGAGAGCATCTTGTCATATACTATCGTTTGTAACTGCATTGCAGATTTATTTTGAGTCAATATATTTTGCTGTAGTACTTCAGGGTCATCTGTGGGCACTTTTTATGTGACTGTCACTTCAGTGTTTTGTCATGGTTGCGTCTATATTTCTTTTCTTGGCATTTCCATTCTGTGACCACAAAAATGTGCCTCTTCAGTCTATACTAGTACTTATTATATAGTTTGGAATTTATTATTTTTAGATTGTTCACTCATCTAGGTCTAATTTTTAAAAGAGTTGTTCATTTTTATTTGAAAGGCAGAGTTAGAGGCAGAGGGAGAGAGATAGAAGGAAGGAGGGAGGGAGGGAGGGAAAGGAGGAAGAAGGGAGAGGGAGAGGAGGAGAGGGGAGGAAGGGGAGAAGAGGAGAGAGAGAGAAAGAAGTCCTCCATCCACCAGTTCACTCTCCTGATGGCCCCAATGGCCAGAGCTGCACCAATCAAGAGCCGGGAGTCAGGAGCCTCCTCTGGGTCTCCCACATGGGTACCCAAGGATCTGAGCCATCCTTCACTGCTTTCCCAGGCCATAGCAGAGGGCTGGACTGGAAGTAGAGCAGCCGGGACTCAAACTGGCACCCACATGGGATGCCTGCGCTGCAGACGGCAGCCTCACCCACTATGCCACAGTACCAGCCCCTCTAGGTTTCATTTCTGTTGTGGGGGAAATAGAAATATAGGATTATTTTTCCAAATGTTCCAATTATCATAAATATTATTCATTGAACAGTCCCATCCTTTCTTTATTGCTATCATGCGAATATTTATTACATATTAAGATCCAAATAGATCATGGTCTAAATGAATTTATAAATATGCTTTTAAGTTTTTCTCAGTGTGTGATCATGTTATTTTCATTATTCTGTGCTTTGATGTGGAATTAGAAAAGATCTTAGACATTATTCTTATTTTCTCAAAACTAGCCATTTACTCCATTAGGTGAATTTCAGAAAATGTTCACAACTTCTATTAGAAAATACTTTGGAGTATTGTTGAGGTATACATTAATTTTTATTAATATGAGAATAATTTAGATTTCTCAATGTTGAGTTTTCCTCTACAACAGTAAAATATCTTGGGATCAGCACTGTGGTTCAGCGGCAGTGCCAGCATCCCATAACAGAGCACCAGTTCGAGTTCCAGCTGCTCCGCTTCCCATCCAGATCCCTGCGAATGCACCTGGGAGGGCAGCAGATGGCCCAAGTACGGGACCTGCCACCCACATGGGCGACCTGGGTGGAGCTCCTGAATCCTTGCTTCAGCCAGGACCAGCCCTGGCTGTCCAGCCATTTGGAGACTGAGCCAGCAGATGGAAGCTCTCTCTCCCTCTCTCTCTGTCACTCTTTCAAATAATAATAAATCTTTTTTTAAAAAAGAATAAAGTATCTTGATTTATCCAGATAACCATTCTGTGTTATTTCTTCAGGTAGGTCCTACTCCGAACTTTCCTCCCTGCCTCCCTTCATTCCTTTCTTTCCATCCCAAAGGTTTATTCCTAAGAATTCTTAAACTTTCTTTCCATTTCCAATTGTAACTTTTTTTCTATTTGTATTTTCCTAATACAGGAAAACTACAGCCTTATCATATATCTGGCCACTTTTGTGAAATTTGCGTAAGTTTTCAATGTTTTAGATGATTATTATGTATTTCCCTGATATATGATGTCACCTAAAAACAATGATAACTTCCTATTTTCTAATGTTTATGTATTCTATTTGATTGATTTTTACTAGCTTAGCCTACAATCTGAATATGCAGCTTAATAGTGGTAACAGGGTTATCTTCCTTGCCACGATACTGGGGGAAATGACACTCTAACATTCTAGACCCTATATTCTAAATAATATATTCTTACAGTAAGTGAATGTTAGATAAGGATTTCAGTATTGTAATCGGGAAAAATGATATACTCAAAGAACTAATCTCATTAACATTGGTTATTTCTGGTAGCATATCTATCCTGAGTTGCATTCCTGGATCAAAACTATGTAATAAAAGTATCCAGATCATATTATCAAAAAAAATTTAATTTAGAAAGGTTTTCTCTACAGATTTCAGGAAGTTTCATGAATTCTATGATGCCAAAGGTCAGGGATTCATTGAGACCTTTATCTTTGTCCGATTCCCCACTACCACCACCTCCAGAACCATAAGCTGGAGAGGTCCCCCGAATGTGGAACCCAACATCTTTGCTCCAGGAACAAAACAAGGAAGCTAAGGAGTTGGTCAAGGAACAGCCTAGGGCCCATCTCAAAGGGACAAAGGAGAATTCAGACAAACCAGGCCATACAAAGCGCTTAAGATCACCTGGAAACCCTCAGGATGTGATTTGGGAGGCCATGAGAACTGTCTAACTTCCTTTGTTGGATTTTACTTTTTCTGTAATTTCTAATTATAATTTCTAAAAGTGCTTAAACACTAATAGCATTGATCTTGTTTTACAGGCTTGATGTCAGGAAGGAGATGACTTGATCTAACTGCCCTGCACGTCACACCCACAGCCTCTCCAGACCCTGCCCAGGAAACCCAGAGACATGGAGACAAAGAACCACAGCACCAGCACTTCCGGCTTCATCCTCCTGGGCCTCTCTTCCAACCCGCACCTGCAGAGACCCCTCTTTGCCGTCTTCCTCGCCATGTACCTGGTCACCGTGGTGGGGAACGTGCTCATCATCCTGGCCATCCACTCCGACTCCAGGCTCCACACCCCCATGTACTTTTTCCTCAGCAACTTGTCCTTCATGGACATCTGCTTCACAACAGTCATTGTGCCCAAGATGCTCGTGAACTTGCTGTCTGAGACAAAGGCCATCTCCTACGTAGGCTGCCTGGTCCAGATGTACTTCTTCATGGCTCTGGCAAACACGGACAGCTACCTGCTGGCCTCCATGGCCGTCGACCGCCTGGTGGCCATCTGCTACCCCTTGCACTATGACGTGGCTATGAACCCACGACGGTGCCTCTTCCTGCTGCTGGGGTCTTGCACCATCTCCCACCTGCACGCGCTCTTCCGCGTGCTGCTCATGTCCCGCCTGTCTTTCTGTGCCTCCCATGTCATCAAGCACTTTTTCTGTGACACCCAGCCTGTGCTGAAGCTGTCCTGCTCCGACACATCCTCCAGCCAGATCGTGGTCATGACCGAGACCCTGGCTGTCATTGTGACCCCCTTCCTGGGCATCCTCTTCTCCTACCTGCGAATCATCATCGCTGTGCTCAGAATCCCCTCTGCAGCGGGGAAGTGGAAGGCCTTCTCCACCTGTGGCTCCCACCTCACCGTAGTGGCCCTGTTCTATGGCAGTGTCATCTACGTCTACTTCAGGCCCCTGTCCATGTACTCAGTGGTGAAGGACCGGGTGGCCACGGTTATGTACACAGTAGTGACGCCCATGCTCAACCCTTTCATCTACAGCCTGAGGAACAAAGACATGAAGAGAGGCTTGAGGAAATTAAGGGAGAGAATTTACTCATAGAAAGAACCACAACTGGGCCACAATATCTAAGGGGTTATCAGGTTATCTTTCCTTCTTACCCATTCTCCACAGAACACTCAAAAGTGTCATGAGAAGTGGTTTTGCATTCTTGTGAGAGCTCTGGCCTGGGAAAAACACTTGGTGTCTATTAACGGCTTTCACCAAATACATATTCAATCCCTGACCAATTATTACTGCGAACCCAAATTTCAGGAAAATTGTTTTAATCATCCCCAGTAGATTGGCAACATTTTACTGGGATAACGCTGTCTCCAGTGAACTCTTCTATAAACCTAACTGTGGTTAGTACTCAGTGAGTTAAAATTTCTTATTAATTTTCAGTAGAAACTACATGACTCTTATATGACATTGGAAAGAAATCTCAGAAGGGTCACCTAAGAGTTTCCTGAAGCATGGCCTGAAAATTAACAGATAAAGGTTCAAAGATGAGGGAACATGTGTAGGCTATGCATTCGTGTGACAGTAAAACATCCTGTGAGACTGACGGTAAGGAAAATAAGACTGGAAACAGAAGAAACTACAAAATAGCTTTACTCCATTCATCAACACCAAAGTAATGGCAGTGTGGCTTCACAGTGCCTGACTCCCTATCCCCTCACTCTTAATTCTACCTTTCTCCACATGTCAGGCACCTCGATCTGCTGTCCTGTATGCCATGGAAAAAAATGAGTGCCAGCTAGTATTAGTTGGGTTACAAAGCAAAAACAAAAAAGCCCAATGTCATAGGACTTTACAATAGAAAGTCTGTTTCTTGTCCACACTACATACCCACCACAGAAAAGTGTGAGACTGTTTCTCATGTTAAATAATCAGCAATTTAAGATTATGGAGGTACCATCTTTGAAACCATCAATCACCATTCTGAATATTTCCTACTGCTTGAATATTTCACTCTTGAATATTTCATACTGCCAATTAAATAATTAAATAGTTCTGCCTGGGAATGACACACACCACTTCTGAGGCAGAAACCATTGTCCACAACCAATCTAATGATCCCACCCATACACAGGGAGCAGAGAGGGCTTGAAACACTCATATTCCTCTGAGAAAAAGATAAATATTTGATTGACAGCATTAATGACTATTTTATAAATACAGACACACAAACACCTGCTTCAGAAATTCTCCCTTACCATGTTAGTGTCAATATCAACAGTGGCAGGCTAATCCTCTACCTGTGGCACCAGCACCCCGGGTTCTAGTCCCAGTTGGGGTGCCGGATCCTGTCCCTGTTGCCCCTCTTCCAGGCCAGCTCTCTGCTGTGGCCCGGGAGTGCAGTGGAGGATGGCCCAGGTCCTTGGGCCCTGCACCTGCATGGGAGACCAGGAGGAAGCACTTGGCTCCTGGCTTTGGATCAGTGCAACACGCCGGCCATAGTGGTCACTTGGGGGGGGGGGGGTGAAACAACGGAAAAACGAAGACTTTTCTCTGTCTTTCTCTCATACTGTCTAACTCTGCCTGTCAAAAAAAATATCAATAGTGGTGTAAGATTATATTCTCTCTCAAATCCTTCTGCTCAGCTATGACATCGAAGTTCAACAAAGATGAACAGATTTTTTTAATCACAAGTTTGTTATGGCAGGAACCAAATTTGAAAAGATGTCTTTTGGGCTTAAAGATATAAGAACAGCTGTAGGGTGCCCTAATGGAATACCGAGGCTCCAACATAAAGATCCCTGCCATTTCAAGGAAAAAATCAGTTTCCAGTGGCCTTCGTATTTGTACAAGCATACCTGGATTTCACCACTATTTCCCACCAAATACAGTGAAGACACTGCCCTAGAAAACACAAATAATTACTTCCTTTATTCACGTGTGATCACTACATGCCATAGTACTTATGACACACTTATCTAACAAGAGGCTACTGTAGAACACAAGGGACTATGGCCCACACTAATTTATAAAACTAATTAGGGAGGCCGGCACTGTGGCATAGTAGGTTAAGCATCTGCCTGTAGCACTGGTGTCCCATATGGGCGCTGGTTCAAGTCTCAGCAGCTCTACTTCCTATCCAGCTCCTTGCTGATGGGCAGGGAAAGCAGAAGAGAGCCCAAGTTCTTGGGTCCCCGTACCCATGTAGGAGACGTGGAAGAAGCTCCTGGCTTTGGATCAGCCCATTTCCAGTCATTGTGGCTATTTGGGGAGTGAATCAGTGGATGGAAAACACCCCCCTCCTCTGTCTGTAACTCTGCCTCTCAAGTAAATAAATAAAACTTTAAAAAAAAGTAATTAGAAAAAATGGAAATATCAGAAATGAAGGCCTTAATAGTAAGTAATATAAAAAATATAACACAACTCCAGCATCCTACTCAAAGAAAGAGTTGGAGTCCCTGTTGCTCTTTTTCTGATCTATCTGCTAATTCACCAGGGAAAGAAGCAGAAGATGGCCCAAGTGCTTGGGCCCCATCCACCTACATGGGAAACCTGGTTGGAGTTCCAGGTTCCTGGCTTTGGCCTGGTCCAGCCCCAGCCTTTGTGGCCATACAGGAGTGAAGCAGAAGACGGAAGATTCTTTCCTTCTCCGTCTCTCCTTTTCTGTTTGGCACTCTTTCAAAAAATAAAATAAATTTTTTAAAAATTAAAAAAAAGGGGCCGGCGCTGCGGCTCAGTAGGCTAATACTCCGCCTTGCAGCGCCGGCACACCAGGTTCTAGTCCCGGTCGGGGCACCGGATTCTGTCCCGGTTGCCCCTCTTCCAGGCCAGCTCTCTGCTGTGGCCCGGGAAGGCAGTGGAGGATGGCCCAAGTGCTTGGGCCCTGCACCCCATGGGAGACCAGGAGAAGCACCTGGCTCCTGCTTTCGGATTGGTGCGGTGTGCCGGCCACAGTGCACCGGCCGTGGCAGCCATTGGAGGGTGAACCAATGGCAAAGGAAGACCTTTCTCTCTGTCTCTCTCTCTCACTGTCCACTCTGCCTGTCAAAAATAAATAAATAAATAAATAAATGGAAAGCCCTGACAACAGTGTATATTATATATTTACAAAAAGAATATCTGATTGTGAAGACACAAAATTGATACACCATTGGCCCAACTAACAAAAAAAAGAGGGAGAAGAACCTAATCCATGAAATTTGAGAAGAAAAAGGAAATATAACAACAGATACCACAGAAATATAAAGAATAATCAGGAATGACTACAAAGAGCTGTATGCCAACAAATTGGGAAACCCAGAAGAAACGGATAGATTTCTGGACACATATAACCTACCAAAATTGGAACTTTTAGACATAGTAAACCAAAACAGACCAACACCCAAGGTGGAAATTGAATCAGTAATAAAGACTCATCCAACAAAGAAAAACCCAGGACCTGACGGCATCACTGCTGAATTCTACCACTCAATTAAAGATTAACTAATTCCAATTCTTCTCAAGCTATTAAAAAAAATTGAGGCCGGCGCCGTGGCTCACTAGGCTAATCCTCCACCTGAGGCACCGGCACCCTGGGTTCTAGTCCCGGTTGCTCCTCTTCCAGTCCAGCTCTCTGCTGTGGCCAGGGAAGGCAATGGAGGATGGCCCAAGTGCTTGGGCCCTGCACCTGCATGGGAGACCAGGAGGAAGCACCTGGCTCCTGGCTTAGGAGCAGTGCAGTGTGCTGGCCATAGCGGCCATTTAGGGGGTGAATCAACAGAAGGAAGACCTTTCTGTCTGTCTCTCTCTTACTGTCTAAATCTGCCTGTAAAAAAAAAATGAAAGGGAAGGTATCCTTTCAAACTCCTTCTATGAAGCCAGCATTACCTTCGTTCCTGAACCTGAAGAAGATATAACAGGAAAAGAGAACTATAACCAATTTCCCTGATGAACATAGATGCAAAAATCCTCAACAAAATACTAGCAATTTGAATCCAACAACACATTAGATAGATCATTCACCCAGACCAAGGGGAATTTATCCCAGGTATGCAGGGAGGGTTCAACATTCACAAATCAATGTGATACATCACATTAACAAATTGAAGAACAAAAACCATATGGTTATCTCAATAGATGCAGAGAAAGCATTTGATAAAATACAACACCCTTTCATGATGAAAGGGTATACTGGGTAAAGGAACATTCCACAACACAATGAAAGCGATCCATGACAAACCCATGGCCAGAAATCTATTGAATGAGGAAATCCTATTGAATGCTTCCCACTGAGATCCAGAACCAGACAAGAATGCCCACGCTCACCACTGCTATTCAATATAGTTCTGGAGGTTCTAGCTAGATCCATTAGGCAAGAAAAAGTAATCAAAGGGATACAATTTGGGACAAAGGAGGTCAAACTATCCCTATTTGCAGCTGACATGATTCTATATTTAGGGGATTCAAAAGACACTACTAAGAGACAGTTGGAACTCATAGAAGAGTTTGGTAAAGTGGCAGGATATAAAATCAACTCACAAAAATCAATAGCCTTTGTATACACAGACAATGCCATGGCTGAAAAAGAACTTTGCAATAGCTACAAAAAACAATCAGATACCTTGGAAAAGTTTAACCAAGGACATCAAATATCTCTGTGATGGAAATTATAAAACATTAAAGAAAGAAATAGAAGACACAAAAAAATGGAAAAAAATCTTTCATGTTCATGGATTGGAAAAAGCAATTTGTCCATACTATCAGAAGTAATTTACAGATTCAATCAATCAAAATACCAAGGACATTCTTCTAAGATACAGAAAATATGATGCTGAAATTCACATAGAAACACAGAAGACTCTAAATGGCTGAAGCAATCTTATCCAACAAAAACAAAGCTAGAGACATCACAATACCAGATTTCAAGACAAACTAAAGGGCAGTTATAATCAAAACAGCCTGGTACTGGCAAAAAAAACAGGTGGATAGACCAATGGAACAGAATAGAAAGTCCAGAAATCAATCCATACATCTACAACCAATTTATCTTTGACAAAGGAGCTAAAACCAATCCCTGGAGCAAGGAGTCAACAAATGGTGCTGGGAAAACTGGATCTTCACATGCAGAAGTATGAAATTAGTTCCCCACCTTATACCTTACACAAAAATCCATTTACAAAACATCAAAGATCTAAATCTACAACCTGAAACCATCAAATTATTAGAGAACTTTTGGGAAACCTTCAAGACATTGACATAGCCCAAGAGTTCTTGGAAAAGACCCCAGAAGCACAGGCAGGCAATCAAAGCCAAAACTGACAAAATTGACAAATGGGATTACATCAAGCTGAGAAGCTTCTGCAACCTAAAGAAGCACTCAGCAAAGTGAAGAGGCAATCGACAGAATGGGAGAAATTATTTGCAAGCTGTGAAACTGATAAAGGTTTAATATCCAGAATCTATAAAGTTAA